TCTCGTCTGATCGATCCCCTGCTCTCCGAATTCATTCAGACTGCTGTGACGTTACCGGCATTGAATGAGAAGTGCGAACGCTCTGTCCCCATTACCTCTCGAGCCCTATGGACTTTTCCACACCTTATAAGTAAACCTCTCCCTATCCGGACCGTCTCCTTATGACGTTCTCTACTTTCAAACCTTCTCTAATCGGACTGCCAACTATGTGCCCTGTAATAACCTAGTCTCAGCTGACCGGTCTGCTTCTTTGACCCTTTCCAGACCAGCAACATTTAAACGGTCTAGACTCTGTAGACTCAAGCTATATCGCACTTACGTTGACAGCCTGCTAGACTTGTTCACCCTCTATTTATATAGTCACCTCCACCTCTCGACCCACTCCATTTGCCCTCCTAAAATTAGCTGTTGGACTCAATGTCGTTTCGCCGACTAATCCTGTCTCGTCTGTTTGGTCTCCTGCTTTCCAACTTCTCTCAGACTCCCGTGACATTACTAGCCATCGTTCAGATGACAGCGCCGTTCGTATCCAATCATCCTTCAATCGGACGAGTGAGTCTCTGTCACCCGTAACTCAGCCTCAGCTGATCAGCCAAATTCTATGGGACTGCTACCAGGCTACCGGGAGGTTAGCGGTCTAGGCTCCGTCGATCCAATGCACTTCCTCCCTCACCTTGATATCCTGCTGAACTTGTTCGCCCTATGTTGATATAACCACTTTTATCTCTGACCAGTCCGATCCGACTGACTCCACTTACCTTCCCAAATGAACCATAGGACTCAATCACAATGCGCCGACCAAGTCCAACCTTGGCAGATCGGTCCTCTTCTCTCCTACTTCTGCGACGCTGCCTGCTAAGCTCGGTATACTGAATGCTCTGTCACCATTACCTCTAGGGCCTCGTTAACTGTCGCATTTCATATCCGTAAACGTAAACTCTCAACTCCGTCCTCTCCTTATCGCGGCCTGTCTTTATTTCTTCTTCATCCGCATAGCGAGCTCTCAGAGCCCTGCCCTATTATCCTCTTTGACTGCTTCCTAACTAGCGAAATGTAGTTTTAGGCTCTGTATCACCATCACACAACTTCTCTCCCATTGCGAGCCTGTCTGACTTGCATACCTTATATTCATTTAGCCTCTTGTATCCCAACCCATCCGTCTCCGCTGACTCTTTATTTACCTTCCCACCTCAACTGTACTACTTACTCTAAGTGTGCCGACTAATCCAGTCTCGTCTGATCGATCCCCTGCTCTCCGAATTCATTCAGACTGCTGTGACGTTACCGGCATTGAATGAGAAGTGCGGACGCTCTGTCCCCATTACCTCTCGAGCCCCATGGACTTTTCCACACCTTATAAGTAAACCTCTCCCTATCCGGACCGTCTCCTTATGACGTTCTCTACTTTCAAACCTTCTCTAATCGGACTGCCAACTATGTGCCCTGTAATAACCTAGTCTCAGCTGACCGGTCTGCTTCTTTGACCCTTTTCAGACCAGCAACATTTAAACGGTCTAGACTCTGTAGACTCAAGCTATATCGCACTTACGTTGACAGCCTGCTAGACTTGTTCACCCTCTATTTATATAGTCACCTCCACCTCTCGACCCACTCCATTTGCCCTCCTAAAATTAGCTGTTGGACTCAATGTCGTTTCGCCGACTAATCCTGTCTCGTCTGTTTGGTCTCCTGCTTTCCAACTTCTCTCAGACTCCTGTGACATTACTAGCCATCGTTCAGATGACAGCGCCGTTCGTATCCAATCATTCTTCAATCGGACGAGTGAGTCTCTGTCATCCGTAACTCAGCCTCAGCTGATCAGCCAAATTCTATGGGACTGCTACCAGGCTACCGGGATGTTAGCGGTCTAGGCTCCGTCGATCCAATGCACTTCCTCCCTCACCTTGATATCCTGCTGAACTTGTTCGCCCTATGTTGATATAACCACTTTTATCTCTGTCCTGTCCGATCCGACTGACTTCACTTACCTTCCCAAATGAACCATAGGACTCAATCACAATGCGCCGACCAAGTCCAACCTTGGCAGATCGGTCCTCTTCTCTCCTACTTCTGCGACGCTGCCTGCTAAGCTTGGTATACTGAATGCTCTGTCACCATTACCTCTAGGGCCTCGTTAACTGTCGCATTTCATATCCGTAAACGTAAACTCTCAACTCCGTCCTCTCCTTATCGCGGCCTGTCTTTATTTCTTCTTCATCCGCATAGCGAGCTCTCAGAGCCCTGCCCTATTATCCTCTTTGACTGCTTCCTAACTAGCGAAATGTAGTTTTAGGCTCTGTATCACCATCACACAACTTCTCTCCCATTGCGAGCCTGTCTGACTTGCATACCTTATATTCATTTAGCCTCTTGTATCCCAACCCATCCGTCTCCGCTGACTCTTTATTTACCTTCCCACCTCAACTGTACTACTTACTCTAAGTGTGCCGACTAATCCAGTCTCGTCTGATCGATCCCCTGCTCTCCGAATTCATTCAGACTGCTGTGACGTTACCGGCATTGAATGAGAAGTGCGGACGCTCTGTCCCCATTACCTCTCGAGCCCCATGGACTTTTCCACACCTTATAAGTAAACCTCTCCCTATCCGGACCGTCTCCTTATGACGTTCTCTACTTTCAAACCTTCTCTAATCGGACTGCCAACTATGTGCCCTGTAATAACCTAGTCTCAGCTGACCGGTCTGCTTCTTTGACCCTTTCCAGACCAGCAACATTTAAACGGTCTAGACTCTGTAGACTCAAGCTATATCGCACTTACGTTGACAGCCTGCTAGACTTGTTCACCCTCTATTTATATAGTCACCTCCACCTCTCGACCCACTCCATTTGCCCTCCTAAAATTAGCTGTTGGACTCAATGTCGTTTCGCCGACTAATCCTGTCTCGTCTGTTTGGTCTCCTGCTTTCCAACTTCTCTCAGACTCCTGTGACATTACTAGCCATCGTTCAGATGACAGCGCCGTTCGTATCCAATCATCCTTCAATCGGACGAGTGAGTCTCTGTCACCCGTAACTCAGCCTCAGCTGATCAGCCAAATTCTATGGGACTGCTACCAGGCTACCGGGATGTTAGCGGTCTAGGCTCCGTCGATCCAAAGCACTTCCTCCCTCACCTTGATATCCTGCTGAACTTGTTCGCCCTACGTTGATATAGCCACTTCTATCTCTGACCAGTCCAATCCTACTGACTCCACTTACCTTCCCAAATGAACCATAGGACTCAATCACAACGCGCCGACCAAGTCCAACCTCGGCAGCTCGGTCTTCTTCTCTCCTACTTCTGCGACGCTGCCTGCTATGCTCAGAAGACTGAACGCTCCGTACCCATTACCTCTCGAGCCCCGTGGACTTTACCACACCTTATAAGTAAACCTCTCTCTATCCGGACCGTCTCCTCTCCTTATGGCCCCTCTACTATCATTTCTTCTCTAATCGAACTGCCAACTCTTAGTGCCTTGTAATAACCTAGTCTCATCTGACCGGTGTGCTCCTTTGACCTTTTCCAGACTAGCAAGATATACCGATCTAATCTCTCTAGACTCACAACTATGTCTTGCTTACATTGACAGCCCGCTAGACTTGTTTACCCTTTATTAATGTAGGCACTTCCATCAGCAACCTGTACTCTCACATCTTTAACCGGATGACCGACGCTTAGTGCCATGCCCTTCTTTGTCATCATCTGATCAGTGTAATTCTCTGGGACTACTACGAGGCCTCCGGATGTGTCGTCTTCTCGAGTCTCGTCTGTTTAGTCTCCGCCTTTAGGGTTCTCTCAGATTACCGGGATATTACCGGTGCTATTTCAGCACTGAACGTTTCATACTTCGCACGACAGCGTCCTTGGCTCACCACACTTTAGTAGTAAACCTTTTTCATCCTGACTATCGTCTCTTAATTGCTCTCATGAGTTACTCTTCGCACTGCCGTCCGCATTATTCCGCTCATAGCTGATTCCTTAAATTTCCTTTTCTTCTTAAAACGTTGCTTTACCTATGTTGCTCCCGCATTCGGTCTCAACCTTGTTGTCCTTAGTTTCACCTAAGATGCCGCTCGCATTCGGTCTGCTGTCATCATCATCGGTTTACCTGTTACTCTCCAATAATCATATTAATCGCTTAACGTTGTCTACACGCTTTGTTATACCCTTCTTTCTACCTAGTAGTTGTAGTCTGAGGCACACCAGCGACGTGATGTAAAGAACGCGCTTGCAAATCATGTATACTAAACAAAATTACATAAATTTTAATGTATCATAGGCACCGTTGCGCGCCACCAGTCTGTGTTTGTGCTTCTTGCTTCGTTGCTGTCTTTCTGTTTGGCTGCCTCTTGTCTGTTGCCCGTTTTCTCTCGAGATTTCCACAGATACATCTGCCAAAACAAGAAGGTTTATCCACTGGGAATAGTCGACCCACTTTCAATAGCCAGCTGGTTTACATGCTTGTTCTTTTCTCCGGGAGATGAAGAACCCACACATCGTTCCAAATGGAGCTCTTTCCGCCATTCTGGAGAAGCTACCACCACGGGGTCTAAACAAATGGGTTTAGCTCGCCTCGTACTCAAAGTAGAACAATTTACTCACCAGGAATAATGTAGTTACATGGATCCACTGTTCCACAACCAGAGACTGACAATTCTGGCGTGATTACATTCACTGCCTCAAACATTCCGATTCTCCAGTCACCTGGAGCTTTTCTTATGTCATTTCACGGACAGCACTGCGCGCGCATAAGCGGCTTTTCCGATGATTTTTCCTGGAGCTCTCACTTGGTTATGGGGACAATTACACTTACATTTGAAGGAAATACTTGTCCACTTCGCGGAGAATAGCATTTATTCCTGTTTTGGACATATTCAGACACAAGAAACAACTGCACTCACCGTCCCTATGACAAGTCCAGCATGGATAGCTGGACACGGGTTGCGAGCCGGACAACATAATAGAAAAAGCCGGCCTCTATTAACAATATGTTTACTCACCCGCATCATTATCATTCGACTCTGCGACTCTTTTACATCATTGACTGGCTTCAATGACCATTGCCGGTTCAGTACTAAGCCATTTGGCCAACCAACGAAAAATTTTGGCTGTCAACCGACTGCGAATAATAGAGTGCAAAATCGGTCTATACGATGTATAGCCGACTAGCACTACAGTCCAACGGAAGCTACGACAGTGTTCCAGGACGTGGTGGGATTTCGCCTGGCAAGCGTTCTCCCTATAAATAGCCACAAATGTCCGCTTAACAACACTGCAACGTGGCGGATGTGACTCGCCACAAAATAAAGTCACTGCTATACATTTCACACTGACGCAGTCCTCAGCCTCCAACATCGAACCTGTGCAACTGATTTTACTATGAAGAATGCTTTAGTGGAGTACCGATCATCCCGGCTTCGTAATGGTCATTGATTGCCCTAAACCTTGTTCGGGCTCCTGTGCTCATGGATCACTACATGTCAAATTTACCCCCCACTTGTATCTTGACGCAACAGTTTTTGCGCGCCACGGCGCCATTATGATCCTTGGTCTGACTATTACCTGACAATATGCTCGCTCTTATGGACTACAGCTTTTCGTTTATTCCTTTCATTGTAACGAAATGTTTTAATATTCCAAAGAAGCTGTGCTTGTATGCATATTTGATCATGCGTTTTAGAGGTGTGTCTCGTTTTACAGAGAATATACTATTTATTTATTTATTTATTTAAATAGAAACAGGTAAAGATAAGAAGCAGCGGACAATGACACAAAATCAGGAAAGAGATACAGCAAAGCATGTACTGATGAAGTAGCATCACACATGAGATGAAGGGTTGGAACTGTTCGCAACTAGGATGATTGTGTGTGAAGCTAGATTATATTTCTAACGGAAACTTCTTAAAGTGGAATGAAGTAAGCCGCACGCTAGGCCGTACATTGAGACATAGCAGTCATACTATAGGCAAAGGGATAAAGCTAGGCGGCGACTGGCGTTAACCTTCTGACACCGCATGAGAAAGTAAGGTCACAGAAACCTTAAGCATAGGAGGAAGGAAAATTACGTTGGTACTTCGGATGGCTGTAATGCTGCATTGCAATGGAAATAGTAGCCTGTAAAGATAAAATGGGAAGGATCCACAATCTACTTGGCGCTTCGGGGCATTTCAGCCATACTGGGAATGAACAGATAGAGCTGAGAAACAGCGGACAACGACTTTCAAAATCCGGAAGGAGTTAACGTAAGGTCAAGGTAGTAGCAAGCTTGAGGTGAGAAGATAAAGTTTTCGGCAAGTCGGTTGGTTGTGAGCTCTGCGGCATCTAACTTTAAGTGATAGTCGTTTACTATGAAATGGAAGCGAGCAACATGCTAGTTGGTTCTGCGAGGCCTATCCGTCGTGTTAGGGCTGAGCAGACCGAGCTAGGAAGTTACAGGCACTAACACTTGGATACCGGTGGTTAAGGATAATACGAATGTAAGTCAACCGTTGTGGGACAAAAAACAGCAGGTGCAGCCAATCGAAGATTGAAGGTCGAGCTCGGTAATTTACTTGCGGTTGAGCAATATTTGGAGCAGCACCTCCCCAGCAGCTAATGGGCTCTGCTCGGATGTGGAAATGTTAGTTTCTATAATAACCTTAGTGGACAACTGGGTACGGTGAGGTTGAGTTGGTTAAAGCACGAAGTAGATGCCAATCACGTAACTAGTGTAAATAGACGGATATGAATTGCCTGCTATGAGCTGACGTCAATCGTCAAGAGACCAGGATTGTGCCGGTAGATAAAAGGGTGTACTGTATGAGGTAAACTTACCAGGACGATGCACTGTAGCTGCGTACATGCTATGTAGTACTAGTAAACGCTAGTCCGTGATGGAGCACTTGCTGAAGCCCGGATATCAGAAGGCAATCGATGTCGGACAAAGCAGATTATATTCGACGGGCTACAAAAATACGTCGACAAATGAAGAGAAATAGGACCAAACGTTAGCGCAAAGACATACAAAGTAGGCACGTAACGAGCTGGTTGTAAGGCGGAGTATAACAATATATAATAAGGTACAATTGTTCAGCCATAAAATTGTACGTACTAGATACTAGGTATCGTTTGAGCACTAGAGTTCCTTCAGAAGGTTGAGTATAGAAAGCCTTCGATTTCAAAAATGATGAATAAGTTGAGTTTTGTAAAGTATATCGTGCAAAGAGTACAGAAGTGAGCGTTTGCGTTAAGTGGTATGTTCGACGGAAAGCGCTCTGGCCGTAGCAAAGGCCAATAACCGGCGCTCTATCTGCTGCATTGAGCGGGGTGGATAGTGTTTTGGGCGCTGTTGCTTAGACCTTCCTGTCTTCTTATCTCCTTCCTTGTGCTACTTCCTGCTTCTCATTAGCTCCAACTTTCTTTTAACCCACCGATATTCAAATTCGAAAGCTTAGATCTCCCTAAACTTGCTTCAATAATCGCTTGTCTTCTAGTTTTAACGCACACGGTTGCATTTCGCCACTCGGATCCAGTCGACAAATACAAGTGCAACCCAAGCAAACCACGTCAGTTTGTCCGCTTTCATTTGGAGTCTTCGTGCCTCGTTAAGGCTGGCATGACTCAACATGCGCACTTGCTATAGATTGGCCAACTCACAGTATTGGTCCGAACACTACAGACCCTATTGATCGAGTTTTGCTGTTCATCAGAAACGCGGTTGCGATTTGGGTTTCATACTTAACATGCCATCCCTCACCTGCGACACTGGCGATACATTCCCAGCGCGCCTGTCCGGCGATTAAACAGCTTTAACTGCTGGGCAAGCTGGCGTTGGCATCGTTTTGTTTTCAAGAACTGAAGCTACCCTGACTGTTTGGATCCTGGCCAACTCTTGGTTTTGCGCTGTTAAATTAGCTGGTTCGTTTTATGCTACGAAATTGCGCAGGAACAACCGATGCCCGTTTGTTATTGCAGCTTACGCCCCTACAAACACTAGCACTGCTTCCGGAAATCCGATTTCGATCATCAACTTAGCGATTTCCTTCGTTACAGAAGCACGGATACCGCGGTGCTGTCTTGAAACCCAGACGCCGAATTCAGAAAATGGTCTACTGAGGAGCTTCTGCTAGGTGGACACAAGGTCTAAGCACCGCTACGATAACGGTGAGTAACTGATGCATCTGTGTGAAGGTGCTCGTCTCTTTCTCGCGAGTACAAAATTTCGTCACAGCACCCGCAAAAGTGTGATGGCGCCCATCAACTTCTCAACAGCCATGGACGCAACTCGATCATAGCGCGATTAGTTACTGCGGGAGTCTTTGTCTTTCCTATTTAAAATCGCAATTAACGAAGTCTTAGAAACCGCATTGGTTGGACACGGCCTAGAGAGTGTGCAGCTACTTCCAAGTAAGTGACTTCTTGACTTGGAGCATGCTGACGATATGGCCTTTAACTATCACATTGCTCAGACATTTCAAGGAGCACTGGAGTGATTAGCGCTGGTCGTCAACCGTTTTGGGCTATGCTTTGCTCCATCAAAGTGCAAAATGCTGCTCCAAGATTCTAAAGAAACCCACTCATGCGAATGCTTTTTGGTGTTCAGCTGGAAGTCGTGCAGGAATGCAAGTATCTGGGCAGTTGTATTAGTGGCCGTGGGACCAACCACGGGGTTACGTACCTTATAGCAAGAGCTTGAAGTGCTTTTGCAAAACCCCACCACCTGTGGTGGAGGCGCTACATTACGCTAGCCTTAAAGGCTGCGTTTATGAAGATGCTGCCAGTTTAACTCTCCCAGACGGTTGTGAAACCTAGCCCATCATTTCAGCAGGCATAAAGCGGCTCGCCACATTCCATTATGGCTGCTTTCGCAACTTAACTCCGGTGGAAGCACAACACTGCAGTATGCGTGTTAGGCGTCGAGTTTTTCGTGCGGGAGGAGCAAGGGAACCGCTAAGCGCCATTATACCACGCGCCAGGCTCCGATGACTGGGCCATGTGTTGCGCATATCACCCATCCGACGCCCGTGGCCCGCGTAGTTCGCGCGCCGGAGGTGTGGTTGGAAAAGGAAAAGCTAAGGTCAAGCGATGACTTGGTTATAAAGAACTGGCGTCGGTTGGTGTTTTCCATCTGCCTGGCAATGGTCCAAAGGATGATAAACACCTTTGATTGGTCGCACCAGCTGACATGACCAAAAGCTGGCCCCAATGGCGTTTGTGTTTTGAGTTTTCTGTCCATCTTTCCCCTTTAGGTTTTCCCTCAAATCCCGATCTAATGCAAGACGCATAATATAACATTTAACATATTATCGCTGGTAGTGTAAGCTGTGTACTTTGCAGCGTATAGTTATAGTCTCATAACATTTATATTGCAACACAATAACTGAGGTGGGATTTTCACCCTTAGCTAACGTTTACTGATGATGATGGATTCCGCCGTGGCTTGGTTATTTATAAGGCATTTATCGCAATGGAGAGTGCATTTCGGCAGCCGTTAGAATAAACTTGTCGGACTTCAACTAATACTGGCTAGCACAGAAAAATGGCCGACAGGACCTCAACATCCGCCTCTGCCAAACGGCGTGCTTTGGAGACTTCTCTCTTTGCCGCGCCCAGCCCTGCGCCAAAACGATGCACGCCTCATGGTGAAAGGACCATAGGCTCACAGAGGAACGATCGTCATCTCATGAAGATACAATACTCGGCCCGTGGAAAAGGGTTCAGCTTTTGTGCCCGGCCCCTCGTCGACTGCGGCGACCCTGGAAAACGGTGCTCGTTGAGGCCCAGCAAGCAAACGGAAAGTTTGGAGCATGTATAAACCAGGAAGAAAAACAACTCACGCAGATCACATCAGAACTAACGAACATAGAAGCTTTGTGTAGCAAGGTTTAGTTACGTTATTTGGATGTGCGTTAAATATGGTATTTTGGAAGTTTTCGTTTTTGCTGTTTACAAAATATCGACTAAAACCGGGGTAAATACATACGGGATCTACGTACCTAAATGTATTTAACTGTACGTAAACGGAAAAGCAAACGGGCTTACAAAGCTCCTGATTACAGCGGTTGGTAGTGGAAGGCGACAGGATTGGTTCGGAGTTAAGGGCGCCTGCTGCCTACAGACCGGTC